CCTAAAGTAATTGATTTTACCCGGCAGAACGAAAGAAGGAAACTCCGCTTTTCAGTTGTCTCAGGCGATTGATTTTTGACAAACAATGACCTTTCAGAGGTCAAATTGCTGTCAAGAATATGAATTGGCTGCTTCGCAGCAATTATGGAAGATATTTCACGCCTATTAAACAACAATTATGTTGTAAATAACTCAGGTAGACTCCGCTCTTTACAATGCAAGACAACACGGTGGAGGAAATCTTTCATTCATAATTCAACTCATGTTTTCAACTCAACTTTTCACATATAGTATTTATATTGTTCTGTATATTGTATTATAGCCTTTCATGTATATAATATTTTTAGTGCAATTAATCCTTTATATTTTATATTATTTTTTACCGTATTATATATCTATTGTAGTTTAATCATCAAGGAAACCAAATTTTATGTACACCTTGTTTTGTGATCATGACAATAGAATCTATATTATCTATTTTAAATTATATGTATTATTTGTATATATTTATATTTGTTCACAAAATTGAGCACTTATTCTCACTTTTAACTACGGTACTTGTTTATATATTCACAGTAATACGCAGCATATTATGATTTAAATATATATTACTACCAACTATTCACCCAAGCCCCACCATGTTTGGGACCCCATTCATCTCCGTTTTTAAATATATTATTCACTGCATTATTATTCCGCTTGCTGTTTTTGGGTTTTCCCCATGTCTTTCAATCTTTAAATCATTATGTTTAAACCAATCTAATTTTCTTCGATTGGACTTGGGGTCAATGAAAAGAAAACATAGCTACTATGGAAAAATGCCATGACTAACAACACAGTCAATATGAGTGGTAAACCACTAGAGGATGTGCAGGAGTTTACCTACCTGGCAGTAAGATGACAACAGATGGCGACTGCGACGAAGAGGTAAACACCAGGATCAGCAAAGCCAATCAAGCTTTTGCTATGCTAAAGTCCATCTGGAGATCTACTGGACTCGGCATCCACACAAAGATCAGGATTTTCAAGAGCAATGTCCTGAGTGTCCTCCTTTACGGATCGGAGTGCTGGAAACTCACTGAACGGAGACTGGAAGTATTCCAAAACAAATGCCAGAATCTACTGGCCAAATATCATTTCAAATGAACAACTCCGGAGCAAAACAGAAACAGTGCCATACAAGAACAAATCCAGATGCGTCGTTGGGGTTGGTTAGGACATGTCTGTCGCATGCCACCTGCCTCGCTACCGAGAACAGCACTACGATGGACCCCCACCCCCCAAGGTAAAAGAAACCGTGGACGGCCAAAATAAACCTGATGTAGAACCATTGTGAAAGACTTAAAGAAAGAGGAAAGTCTTGAGACAGCCCTCAAAATTGCACCAGACAGAAATAATTGGAGATCCTTTGCGTCGCCTCAAGCGCCAGATGGCACAGAAGAGGATTAAGTAAGTAATTTTCCTCCATTCTCCTAATTATTATTATTATTTGTCAATTTTCTGGGCTCTGAAAATGTCAACCAATCACAGATCAGAAAATTATTTACTGCAGTGAGGTTGAGTTACCGCTGTGAACCAATCAGGCCAGAGAACTCGCTGCAGTAAATTTACATTTGAACTGCAGTTCAAAAACCGAATACTGAGCTTCTAGTGTAACCACTTTACAGTACAGAGTTTATACTAGCAAACATACCACAAAATAATACTGCAAAATTGTGTTACTACTCCTAGTATAGCAGGACGATGTGGACCCCAGAGCTATCACCGCAACCGACTGGCTGTATTTTAAAATCAGTTATCATTTGCCTGTTTATGCCTCCATGTAAGTTGTATGTAATTTATCAATCCGATTAAAATTTAGGTCTTACGACTAAGACGATTCTATTACTGTACCACTACTATGAGCCCTCAAACTTAAGCACATTTTAGTATTCTTTTCAAAATTGTAAATTACTTAAACTATCAAAAAAACGTAAGTTTATTTTATAGCTTGTATAAATGTAACATCATTAGGAATATGAAGGACGAGCATGTGTTCTGCAGATCGTATATATATGTTGTCGTCTACGGGTAAGGATATTCTTGTCACTCATTTTCAACACTTTTCACATTGCTAGTTTAAAAAAGAAACCAGGGGAGGCGCCAGCAAGGGGAGGTTCCCCCCCCCCACCGTCAGGCAGAAAATCCACAATTCATCGGGGAGAAAAAATTATAAATTATGTATTTTCTACATATTAGTAGAAATAAACTGAAGATTTGACTGTTAGTTGTTAGACCTATTGTTCTTTTATTACATGTCGTGTAACTATTCTTGAATGTTTTGATTGCCCATGGAAAAAAAATGATTTTAATGTATTTTTAACTGTTTTTATTTTAATACAATAGTAATTACGAGTTCCATGCAGTGCCTATTTGAAGACATTATACCACCATAGGGGAAAATGTACCTTAGGCCACACTGCAGACCATATTACTATTGTATAGGCCTACATACATTATGATATACATAATATATTTTTATTATTTAATATGAATGACCCTATAGGATCTGAGATAATATCAATACGAGTAACGGATACGAATGTACTTGTTTTAGTGAATAATGCGAAAGTAAATCGATTCTGTGACTGTGCATGAAAATATACCAGTATTAATTATAATAATAGATTAATAATATAAATAAAACCGACTAAGATGTATGCACTTATCCCATCCACCAGACCTTTCAGCCAGCATAAAAGCATAGATACTATATTAGCATAGTATCTACGATCACTGTGATAAAAGGTAGCCTAAGGTATGTTTGGATTTTCATACTTAAAAATCCTCGTCTACAAATTGCTTTATATTTCGTAGGTTGGTACTTTATACACTTCTTAATCATGAGACAAGAATAATATAACGATTAGAAAGCACAACTTATAAAGTATGACCGAACATTGAGCATCTAATGAGTGTATTATGTTGTTTGTGGAAAAGCTGTAGTATAATCTAAAAGAGCGCTTGATTTTCATAATGAAGAAGTTCACGCGAAGCCCAGAACAGCATAGCACACTTAGGAAGACGGGATAGTTGTCCAGTCGCAACTGCGACACAAAATTGAAGACAATGAATACCTGGATAAGCTACGAGAGTGGTCGACGGTACGTTTACGTATATCAAATGAATATACAAATATCAAATGAATATCCTCCACAACCGCCTACTCTCTGACTTTGTTGTGAGTGATTGTGAATGAACGTGTTATTGTAACTGCTTATTTATTTAGTTTTCAAGTAATCAGTCAGTCGATGAAATTTATATCCCGCCAGATATCCAGAACATTCTGGATATTTGCTAGGTATCACAACCTTCTACCTGTTCAGGGGGTATGCTTTTAACCCTAGCCTATTTATTATGATTCACATTTACACACATTTGGGACAGCATGAAATTTAAAGAGTACATGGATCTGTACGACATTAAATAACTTATCAATACTATAAATATAACTTTTTTTATCATAATTTAAATGTGATTATGGAAAGTAGCCATGCCTATATCAGGGGTGGTGCCAGGATTTGCCCGACGGGATGGAGGGGGGGGGGATTTCCCCGACGAAAAAAAGAGGTCGATGTCTGACGTCACTCAAAACCTCCTGAAAGTGTTGCAGGGGGAGAAGCCCCCGAAAATAATGACAATTTAGGGGTTTCAAAGGCTTAGTTAATCGATTTTGGAGTCTAATGATATGTAGAAAATACATATACTGTGTATTTTTGTCCTCGACGAATTGTGGCTTTTCTTTTTCCCCGACGAAGGGAGGGGACAGCTCTCCCCGACAGGGCCCTAACCCCGATCACCAAACCCACCCCTTGCGCTGGCGCTACCCCTGTGTATAAGAATTTGGATAGGACATGGTTGGACAAACTATTCATAATAAAAAAAATGTATAATTTTAATGCCTATCAATTGTTTTTTTTTTACAGGTTTATCAAATACAATAGTGTAATCTTTAAAAAAATTACAGAAATGCGTTAAAACAAATAAACAATTGTTGATGACTTTGATTAAAATTGATATACAGGTAGATGGTAGTTTAATGTCTATTTATGTAATAGTTCTGCAGGTACAAGTCTACTTTAAAACAATAGTCTTAAACTTTGCTTTGTCGATGCAGCCAAGACCTCACAGTAAGAAGTTTTGTACAGAAATTAATTTTCTTACAAAAATTAAATGTGCATGGTGATTATCAGGTTTTATCAAATGTTATATTTTATTTTATTCAGGTATAAAAAAAATCCAAAAAATAGCCATTGGCTAATATTGTTGCATTTACAAAAATATAAGTGTTAAAAATTACGAAATTGCACAACAACATTAAAATGTGTATTTACAAAAAAAAAAAAATTGATATTTACAAAAAAAAAATTGTATTTACTTTAATTAACAAAATTATTTATATTGTCTATATTATGACAGATTCTGTTTCAATTGTATCTGTTTACAGCTGTTTGGAATGGTTATTTCAGCTGGGTGATCACCACTCATTTTCATTAATCAACAGAGGACATTTCCTGGGAGCCCTAAGTTGAGTGGGGATGATAATACAGCATATTCAACAAATTTTATACATTCGTTATGTACCTGTATATTACAGTACGTTAATTAGAAAAAAATACCATTCTGGAAATCATGGTTTTGATTCTATGAGTTATAAAACTTGATACTCTTGGCATCTGATGAAAAAGCAAGAACTCCTGTACACCAAGCCAGTGCCGTTTCGATATTAATCGTAAGGCAGTTTACTCATGACAATAAACAGTTAAATACAATAATGCCCTTACTGTATTCTTTTGCATTGACCCTTAAATTTACTGGTGATTAATATACTGTAATAAATTGTTTGTTAATTAGTGACAATTTTTTTTTGCTAAAGCAGTATCATAATATATGGTAAAACATTAGAAGATCAACAAATAAAGTTTGAAAAATGAAATAACTGTGGCTTACATCATTTTTTTAGTTTCGTACCATGACATTACAATGAATATTAATACAAAAATTAGTTTATGCAGTGTATGAAGTAATAAAGAGGTATCCAGACAAAGATAGTATTCATACTAAATTGTTTTTTCATTACCTGCAGTGTGTAGCCTCTCTTAATTTTGCGAATTAAAAATAAGGATTAATTTTATTGGAAAATAAATTTGATAGAGATCAAAACAATTAAAAGGATTGAATATTTTCCCCTTTTTGTGTATTTGCTCTATTTATGGCCCAATAGAATGTTAAATATTATTTCGAAATTTTGTATTATGTATTTTAAAACTGAGTGCATAATTATTTCTCGAAATACTGTAATTTATAAATAAGAAAAGAAAACATTTGGTACTAAGGGGAGAAATATGTTCCGTTTAATTCAAGATTCAATATACGTTTATTGCAAAGCAATCATGAAATAAAATCAATTACTGTAGTTCTTGTTGGCACACATACTGGAATAATGTAAATATTATTCCTCAAAACCTCATAATAAAGCTTCTCATAATGACCAGAACAATAGCATGCATGTCATTAAACTAGATGGCAGTCTCGGAGAGTGCATATCTCCGCCCACATCATAGTTCTCAGCATAAATTTCCCCCGAAAATTGTCCCCATCAAAAATAAAGAAGTAGACTCCTAGGGATTTAAACCCCGGGCTGGTAGTGTGGAAAACACTCTTCTAACCACTGCACCAAACTGTTTTCATATATATATCTTTGAAATTAATGGTCCTATGTTTGTTTACACTGTACCAGCAAGCCCACACACACACACGTCCATACGGCAGATGGTTATACTCAAGTAGTTGTTCGATCATTGTGCCCTTGACCTTTGACCCTGACCCTTCAAAATTTAGTCACTTCCATATCTTGGTAAAGGAATATTGTGGCCAAGTTTGACAAATTTCTGATAAAAACTATGGGTTGTGTGATCCTCTGTCAAGTACAGGCCTGAAAATTGTTGAAATGAAATGTCTAAATGGGAAGAGCGAGTGTTATTGAAAGTTTCTAATCTTGAGCGATTTGTTAAAGTTTTATTTTGACTGCGATAGTAATGTAATGATGAGGAATTTTACTATATATATAAAGAGTCATTTCCGACCATGGTACTATTTCTTCAAATTTTCGAACCTCACCATGGAGGTGCTCAGATGAATTAGACTCACGAATGCCCCCACCTACTATCTACCTTTCAAAAAGATCTTTGCCCTTGACCTGGCCTCATGTATTTTATGTTATTAATCTTTCCATCACTCACTAAACTATTCCACAGCCTATGTCATCCTCATAATCAACCTCGCCATAACTTTTTTTTTAATAAACACTAGAAAGGAGGAAAAATTAAAATTATATTGAAATTTAATTCTCATAGTGGCATTTATGGCCATTTAGAGGTGCCATAATCATACATTTTCTACAACCCCACTAAGGTTGGCGCTTAGGTGGGCTAGTCCCTGGGACCCTTCGACAAAAGTAGCACACACAGTGAACTTATACCGATACTCATTGTAAGGATCAAGAAAATTGTTTATTTATATTGTTATTTGTAGTAAAATACTGATGACGGAATAAGTGGTGGAACCAATGGAGTCTAAGTGGCTACAGAGCCCCCTTCCCGGTCAAGGGGATTTTCCCTGCTGGGAGAAAAAATAAAATTCGTCGGGGAGAAAAAGCTTTTTTAAAGCCTTTTAAATTCATAGCCGTCGGAAGCATTTTGCAATTTGGTCCGGCCATTAGAGTGAGGTATGGTGCGGAGGGGAGGGGGGGGGTGTAGTATGAGCACATGACAAATTTGGTGG